AATGGTCCTGTCACATGTCGTGTTCCATGATCGAAATCATTGATTCCCTCTAAAGCATAAATCGTGGTGTGAAGATTTGAAATCTTATTAAAAATAGGGATAAAGTTTCATCTTAAACGCCTACCGTAATACATGACGAATACTCCCAGAGCTCCAACAAATGCACCGGCAATCTGCGTTATTGAAAACACTATGAACCTGTAGTAGCTAAATTAAGCAAATAAAGTGATAAATTTTTAGCAGTAACATACTTTACAAAACTAATTTTTCTTTGTGTGAATAGAAAGAATGATACCGCAGGATTCAGGTGACCTCCTGTTAAGTTGCAGTTGTCAGAAGTAAAAGATCTACCAACCATAAATTACCTGACGTACGATAGCTCATTTGTACACATAACCATAGTCCAATACCCCAAGATATCGTTAGCGATGTCCACTCATCTGTTTGCCTTTTTGAGATAACGAATTGAGCTACCGTTGAATCACCCCAGAACTAAAAAAATGCAAGAAATTAGCTTATTGTCTATTTCGTAAAGTTTTCTTCAAATTATAATCAAGCTAAACCAAAATCTGTATTTGCCCACCAGCAAAAGCGCAGTACAGAAAAATTCTGTTAGTATATCACGGAAAAATACATCACCAATATGAAGTTGTTTTCGGAGTTTTTCCATCATAGGTAAATCTTCCTAAAAAGGAATGCTATCTAAAAACTTGCACAAAAGTTTGGATGAGGATTCTCAATCTCGAATTGCTTTTGCGCATCTAAGCGAATAGCCAGATCTCAATGATTGACATATCCATCACAATTCGACCCACAGGTGAGTCGTATTCTATTTATTAGCGTATAGTTGCTCATTTGAGTTCCACAAAATTTTGGTATGTACATACCTTAAGACATCTACGAAGCATCACCATAGAAATACGGTAGCTGCAGTAGAAGAAATGGTCTTACTTAGATTATTACGTAAACGTTGTCGAGAATGGTTCGATCTGGACCAAACTTGGCACATATACAACTTTGGGTAAAACATATATAAGCTATCTTATACAGCAATAGCGATCGGTCTTATTGGCTTGAAAATTTTTTTGCGATTTTTTTTCGCTCTAATCTGCTGGAATTCAATGTGGAAGAAGTGCCCAACCACGTTTATCGCGACTGCGACATTTTCTTAACAAACGTCCATTAATTCCGTCCGCTGTTTTTTGAAGCAGATTAGCCAACTATGGCTTCGCTAACTGTCCAGTTTTTCATATAAAAATGATTCGATTATCTATGGCAACTACCGTATCCCGTAAACCTATAGCGCGCAAAATGGATGTGGTTTTTTGATCAGAATATGAAAGAACTCCCATAGATTTTTTCTAGGCGAATATGTGATTTTGGTTGCTTACTGTATAGCTATCGCAACACCAAACTGATGTCGTAGCGCACAAAATGAATAGTTTGTGATCGCATAATATGCACTCTTAACCACTTTTGCATCAAATTTTGTATAGATGGCACAAAAATAGTGTTACGTGACGTTAGAATCCAAAGTAGGTAAGTAATTTGAGATGCGAAAAAGTGCTCTTGTCCAATATGGCAGAAAGTGAAAAAGGCTCTTTGTCAATGTGTTAAAGAATACCTCGCAATATATGATTAACTATAATTTATTTATTTATATCTTATAGACTAAAAATGTGCCAGTAGCTCGGAATCTATAATATAATGTTAAGCGCAAGAAGTGATGTCTGCTCTGATTAAGCGAATAGAATGAAGAGAATGGTAGCAAAGCTGCATGAGTTCTTATGGGAGACCCAAATAGGGATTGGTGAAGGGAAATGCCACCACTTACATGGAAACTTTAAGGTCAAGGGCTGAGTTTAGTACGAAATTACAATTTTGAGACAAAATATGAGCTTCCACAGTTTTCGCACCAGTTGACAAGATTGCATCTTTTCAAGCATTGAAATAATCATCAACATTGATGTAATCGTTAAAAATTGAAAGTTCCCGGTATTACGCAGATATGTGTAGGTTCGCGTTTACCAAGAATTGCGCCGCGTTGTAGGTTTGATGTTAGAAGAGATGTGCTTGCGCCGTTTGCGCTGTTCTTCCCGAATTCGCCCCTCTTGCTGTTTAGTAAGGGAAGAGTACTTATTGGAAATGTAATTTATTAAATGGTGTGTCTATCCACAAAAGGCTAATTTCAAATCTATCATCCATGGGCCGTAGTTATTAACATTCTCGCTGGGAAGGGGAGAAGAGGGAGGCGAAGGAAGCTTATCAACATTCTTGTTGAAGAATGCGATCATATTCAATGAATGTTAATCCATTTGAATGAGTAGAGTTTGCGAGGTCGTATTATGCGTTTCTGAGT